CTATATATATATATATAAAAGTTCAAATGTGGATTAACATCTATTGTGTGGATGTGTGGACAATGCTATTCTGTAAGAATGACAAAGAAAATATGTTGTTTGATAATGTGAATACGTTCAATCTTACATAACTAATGTTATTATCACGTATTTTCACCAATTAAATCGTCTATAAGGTTACTATATACTTTTTTTATTATTATTCTCATTCTGTCAGAATGTTTATTGAGTCGTATTCTATAAGAATGAAAATGAGTGAAAAACGATGCGTGAAAACAAAAATGAATAAGAATTAGTGAGAATGCATGGAAATGAAAATAATTATGTAAGGTTGAACGTATTCACATTACTAAACAATTTATTCTTTTAATAATTTTACCACTAATTACTCATCTAGACTTATTAACGTGTTGTTCTTAGTTGATAAGAAAAAAAGCAAGGAAACTTCTCATTGTTTGTTGATGGGTCGTTTTGAGTTGATTTTGATTTTTTATGTATTTTACTAAACTAGTTAAGTTAATAGTTATAAGTAAAAGATTTAAAGTATTTAACAATTTATATTAGGGATACAACGGAGCTGAGCTCTCCGGGATCAACTTATTGGGCGGTCTAATTGAGGCTAAGCCCAAGCTTTAGATATTAAGCTTGTTCAGGCTCACAAGCCGGGTCCAGTGCTCAAGTGGTGGGCCCTAAGACGGGTTTATGTGGGGCCATCCAGAGAGTGTGATTTACTTTTTTTATTTCCTTTCTGTTTTTTCATATTTATATTTTACATGTACTAAGGGCGTGTTCGGCAAAACTAACTGGTAGCGGGTAGCTTGTAACTTGTAGCGTTTTGTTAAACGCTAAATGAAGTAGTTTTTGGATTTGGAGCATTTTGTTTAAACTAAACGCTAGAAGCTTGTAGTGCCAAACAAGACTTTTTGTTCAAAACGGAGCGTTTTGTCAAACGCTAGAAGCTAGAAGATCTCAAAAGCTCCTAAACGCTCCGTGCCGAACACGCTCTAAAAAAAGTAGCCAAAAACTAGTCGGTAAATACCACTAAAAACAAATTACTATTGTTAATAAACTTTTCAACAAAACCCGGCCTACACCCACGTGGCTCATGGATACTAAAAACAACAGGAAACATCAGCTATAAAACGATCATTCCAACAATCCTATCCTACTAAACTAAAGCTAACACCAAGACCAAGGCCTTTTCTTTTGTCACATACCAAAATCCAAACATATATACATAATCTATTACTTTTGCACAACTGTTTACAAAGTTCATGTCAACCATATAAGCATGCAAAACAAATCGTCAGCAAGAGAGAATTTTAGTTTCATGTACAATTCCAAGATACTTTCGGCAACTGTCTAGATGATCTATTGGCAACTCATTCATTAAAACATCACTCATGATCGGATTAAGACAATCTATTGGCAAAACTGGTTATTGATGATGCACTTATTGTTCTCTGTGTTCTTTTCATATCACACATAAAGATAGATGGATGTTCCTTTGACAGAAGAAAGTGAAATGAAAGAGAAAAAGTCTACAGGAAGGCAAAAGGGTGGTATAATAACCATGCCATTCATCTTAGGTATTCATACCTTGTCTATTTATTTTTTCAATTTGATTGTGAAACTATATTTACTCATAGTTTTGTGATTGGTTACAACTTATGGCAACAGCAAATGAATCATTTGAAAAAGTGGCAAGTTTTGGTCTACTCCCAAACATGATTATATACCTTATGTCCGATTACCATACAAGCGTCGCCCTCGGTACAAACATCCTCCTAATTTGGTCGGCCGCCACCAATCTCCTTCCCATCGCCGGTGCTTTTCTCTCCGATTCCCTTCTCGGCCGCTTCCTCACCATTTTTCTCGGTTCCATCTTCAGTCTCGTGGTACAATCCTACGTACTCTCTTTATAGTTGCACATTCAGACCGGGCCATGGTCAATCATTCCAGGCAAGTCCGGCCCGGTCAATGTGCAACTGTAGTTAGTTCCTACTTTTGAACTAACTACGAAACCATTGTTTATGTGTTTCCAGGGGATGATCCTTCTATGGTTAACTACGGTGATCCCGGGAGCAAAACCTCCGGTTTGTAATGTTCGGGTGCCAGGATCCTGTGCGTCACCGACACCTCTCCAGTATGGTCTCCTCCTTTTGGCTTTTACTTTTATGTCGGTTGGAGCTGGAGGGGTACGACCATGTTCGTTAGCATTTGGGGCGGATCAAATAGACCGTAAGGATAATCCGAAAAGAGAGAGGGTATTGGAGAGTTTTTTCGGGTGGTATTACGCGACAGCTATTGTGGCTGTTCTTATTGCGTTTACTGGTATTGTTTATATTCAAGATCATCAAGGATGGAGAGTTGGTTTCGGGATCCCGGTCGTTCTCATGTTCTTGTCTACTCTCGTTTTTGTTGTGGCTTATCCTCTTTACTATAACGTAAAGGTCGAAAAAAGCATGTTTACTAGCTTCTGCAAAGTCATATCCATGGCTTGGAAAAACAGACACCTCACATTACCCTGTTTGAGTGTGAGTGATACGAATGGAAAAACTATGCCCACAGATACCTTGAGGTAAGTCAATCAATATGTTGTTGCTTTCTAATTCTAGGTAATATTGATCTTTGACTAAATCAGTTTATGGTACCTTTTAAGGTTCTTAAACAAGGCTTGCATAAGTAGGAAACCTGAAGAGATGAGCAAAGTCTGCACAATAGAGCAAGTTGAAGAACTAAAGGCGCTTATTAAAGTGATGCCATTGTGGTCTTCAAGTATCATGTTAGCTGTGACCATGAACCAAAGTTCATTTCCAGTCCTCCAAGCCAATACAATGGATAGACATATCACTTCAAGCTTTGAAATCCCAGCAGGATCCTTTTCCTTCTTTGTAATCATAACCATAATGATTTGGGTCATACTATACGACCGAGTTATCCTCCCTTTATTGTCAAAAATCAAAGGGCAACCGGTATACATAAGTGTGAAATTACGAATGGGGGCAGGTCTTGTTTTTGGAATAATGGCCATGGTGCTTTCGGGAATTGTAGAGCACATAAGGAAAACTAAAGCAATTGAAGAAGGGTTTTTGAATGACTCTAAGGCAGTGGTGAACATGTCAGCAAAGTGGCTTATTCCACAGCTTGTTCTTATTGGATTAGCAGAGGCGTTGAACATAATAGGCCAAACAGAGTTTTACTATTCTGAATTCCCAAAGAGTATGTCAAGCATAGCATCTTCTCTATACATGCTTGGGTCAGGTGTCGCAAGCTTACTGGCTAGTTTGATACTAAGCACTGTGGATGCTCTTACTAAAAGGGGTGGAAAAGTGAGTTGGATATCTACTGATATAAACAAGGGTCATTATGAGAGGTACTATTGGCTTCTTGCTATACTGAGTTCAGTGAACTTTTTTTATTATGTTGCGTGTAGTAGGGCTTATGGTCCATGTGCAGATAAAGTTGTACCAAAAGGTGAGAAAATTGACAATTCAGGCGAACATGTGGCGCCCTCAAGTAGCTAGGATCAGATATGTATATGTTACAAAAAAAACCATGGGTCTCTCAAGGATTTATAATCTGTTGTTATATATGGATATAATATTAACTATCATACAAAGATTAACTTATTCTTCATTTTAGATGCTATGTGGTATAGACTTTACATACAGAGAGTTTAAATATGGGGATGAAAACAAAAAGTTGGGAAAGATGAATAAAGATCATAACATGTATGAGTGGTTACTTAGAGCTTGCTTTTTCCAGCCTGTAAACTTTTGAAAGGAATCACACGCATCCATTGTTTCCCGACAACCACCTTCTCTTTACTGCCTTTCTTTTTTATATCAATCACTACTGATACTAGATTGCCCTTTTCTCCAACCACATTTGCCTCTATCTCAACTTCTTCCTAATTTTTTTGAGAAAAAAGCCGATGTCAAAGCAAAAGTTGTTACTAACAAGTGAGTGATAAACCATAATAGTAAGCAGCAATTCTCAGAGTAGAAATACATTTAGACTTGTTTAATCATTAGGCAAGCAGGAAAAAACTCATTAGTGATTCTGAGTCCAAACATCAACATGATTTAATGTACTCCAGATCATCTATTTGATTATGAACTAGTAGTTTGACCATGAAATGAACATAACTAGGGATGTGCTTCGGGCCGGAACCGACCAGACCAGAACCCGAAACCCGAATTGGATGAAAAGTGGGAACCGAAACCCGGACCGATTATATTAATACGGGACCGGTTCGGTTCGGGTAATACGGGTTTCGGTTTGGTTATTAACCCGAAAGGACCGAAATAACCCAAATAAACATTTACACTATGCTTCTGAACCAAATAACCCAGATAAACCGAAATGACCCGAATAACCTAAATAAACCGAAATTGCCTGAATAACCTAAATAAGGAAATTCTATATCTAGTTCAAGAAAAAAAATATTAAGTTAATATATTATTTCTTGAACTAGATATAGAATTTCCTTAATTGTGTTATTCGGGTCATTTCGGTTTATTTGGGTTATTCGGTTCAAGTGACCATTCACTTTCCGGATCGGTTTTTTTGGCCCGATTAAACATTTATTCGGGTAACCTGGACCGAATAACCCGAAACCCGAATTGGGCAAAAATAGATACACGAGAACCGACCCAAATAACTTATTCGGTCCTAATTCAGAGGTTGGTCAGGTCTGGGTTTCGTTTCTGTTCGGATATTTAGTCCAAACGCACATCCCTAAACATAACTATGCAGAAAGTCAGGAAGCATGGAGCAGAGCATTTACAGCTTGAAAAAGCATGACTGTTGACACTTGACATGAGGATTATGTATTAAGTAAAAGTTTAATTTTCTTTTGGTGAAAGTTGTTAGACAATGGGGTAAAAATAGGGTGGAATTGATGATTAAATCCTGATATCTAATGGATCGTGTAGTTGGTGATACCAACAAAACTATGGTTTGAGAAAATGGACCGAGAATTAATTAGTGAACAGGATTAGAGAAGAGAGAGAGGTGAAGAAATGGCTTACATTGACCTTAGCCGACGAATAAAAGGACATAGTGAAATCAACAGTTGCCAGATTGCATCCACAATACGAGAACACCGCACCTGCCGCCATATCGTCGATCAAAACCGACATCGCTCCGACGTGCCAGTTTCCATTTTCATCCTGAACAGAGCAAATAAGTAAATAAATTACTCACCAGTCACCACGAGATCGTAAATTACTGGATCAATATGATGATGAATGTTGTTGATGGCGCAATCGATCAATAAACTCACCGATAGATGATCTGGAATGACGAAATCGCAACGTATCAAACCTATCTCAACACGATCAATCCGCATTCCTTGAAGTGCGAGGCCATCCAATTGGACCTTTGAACTGTTTTCGAGCCATTTCTTGGCTGCTTTTGAGTAATCGACTTTCATTCTGTCGTTATTCCGGCAACCACTCCGTTCTGGAACGATGCCGAGTTCAGTTATGGAAGATTACCGTGATGAGAGGAGGCGTGACGCCAACTTCGTTCCGTGTCTAAAGACATCGCTTTTTGGCTTGATGGTTGTGGTCGTGGACTTGCAATCGGGGGACGACAAATTCCGAAGTCTTGGGATTTGGGAAGATATTTTGTGAACGTTGAAAATAGTATTTCCAGTCCTCTTGGTTTATACATTGTCTCATATTTGCCCCCTCATGGAAGAAAAATCAATCATATTAGTCCCCTCAATTTGCCGTTTTAGGTCCATTTGATAGACATATTTCCAGGCCTAAACAGATCTTTCTGGCTGAATGAGCCGAAAAAACTGTTTGATTTGCACATAAAAAAAATGTCTTCCCCGATAAGATATGTTTTTCCCATAAAGTTCAAAATCATATCTTTCTGACACATTACATATTTTTTTTCTTTTCTTCGAGCATATGATTTAGGATGACCATTTCAATCAGAACAACATAGTAATACAGTTATTTTTCATCACTCAACAGAGTCAGTCAGATGTACAATCAAACAATATGGTTTCTTTCTCAGTCAATAAACTTTTCTAGACAACACTTTCTCATACAACAACTATCAAACGAGGCATTAGTCTTTTTATCAACTTGCAGGTTTTCGAACATTAGCTAGAAAAATTGTGAGGGTGGTTGAAATTTACAAAGCAGTTAGTAAATTATTTATGATTTTGTATTAAGTTTTATAAATTTTATTATAGATTTAAAATGAGAGTTGATTTGTACATAACCATTTTTTCTTTGTATACAACAATTTATAGTTAAAATATTATATTATACAACCTCATAAAATATAAATTGTTGTATATGGAGAAAACATGTTGTATACAAATCACTTCTTTTTGGAAATTATGGCAGACTGCTAATTGTTCCTTGACGCCTCATAGAGGTCAAAATCAAATGAGAACATAAAAAAAAACATAAGAACAAAAAAGTTTTTCTTCCAGATACACGTATATTATCATATTAAATACATCAAAATAAATATATGTTTAAATGTAAAAAGTCAATATTGTCACGAACTATCATATATATTCATATATATATATATATATATATATATATAT